ATGCCACTGCACTCCAGCCTGGGCGATAGAGTGAAACTTCATCTCAAAAACAAACAAACAAAAGAAAAGAAAAGAAGAAGGCATTTAGAGGAGTAAAAGAGAGAATACATCCATGGGGCAACCCAGACATTTGGGCAGTGACAGTGAAATCTTGCATCACTGCGTGGGACAGGAAGCTGGGCTGACTAGACTAGAGGGCACAACTCCAGATTTTTTCATCAGCCCTGAGTTGTGTGGTTATGGGTTTCCCACTGAAGTTGGCCTGTGTAGTAGCCAGCTTCAGGGCAGTACTATTCCCCTTACTTCCCAAGTGAATGGAGGGCACTCGACACCTTGTCAGAGTGGGCCAGGAGTGCAGCTGTAGACCAGTCCAGCTGGAGAAAGAGGAGATGGGTCCCCTTGACTGTTGTCCTTGTCTGAAGGTTAGGCACAGGCCAAGTGACAAAGTGTCTATGTCTTGGGCTACAGTGCCATTGGTGGTGGAGTTCCCATGGAGGGAGGCTCAGGACCCTACCTTTTTTGTTGGTTGAAACAAAAAGGCCTTGGTCAAGCTGGGCATGGTGGCTCATGCCTGTAATCCCAGCACTTTGGGAGCCAAAGCAGGTGGATCACCTGAGGTCAGGAGTTCGATACCAGCCTGGCAAACATGGTGAAACCCTCTCTCTACTAAAAATACAAAAGATTAGCTGGGTATGGTGGTGAGTGCCTGTAATCCCAGCTACTTTGGAGGCTGAGCCAGGAGAATCACTTGAACCCGGGAGGTAGAGGTTGCAGTGAGTCGAGATCGCACCGTTGCACTCCAGACTGGGCAACAAGAGCGAGGCTCTGTCTCAAAAATAAACAGACAAACATAAACAAACAAGCAAACAAAAAACAGAAAAAAAAGTAAAGACCTTGGTCACTCTGGAGGTTGGCGGGAACTTCCTTGGGGCAGGGGACAAAATGACCAGTTTGGAACTTGTTTTCTGACTATATGAAGGGACACTGAGTCCCACCTGTCCTTTCTGGCAGCTTTCATCAATGTGAAGCTCATCTAATCAGCCTGTTCTTGATGGCAGAGTTCTTGCATGGCTCTTACACAGGAATGGAGCAAAAGAGGAAGGATTTTCCCACCATGATGATGCTGTTCTAGCTCACCTGGAATGCCTCTTCTCTTCCTTTCCAGTCATCCAGAGCTCAACTCAAACCTCATCCTTTCCAGGTTACCCTGGACCACGGTGATCTCACCTTCCTCCCCAAAGTGCTTCGAGGTTTCTCGTCTGCATTATTCCTTTACCATTTCTGTAAATATGTATGCTGCCCGTGTCATGTCTTGTGTTGTTAATTGCACTTGTTATAAGTGTAGGTTTTCTGTTTTCATTAGATAGTACTTTTTTTCAGATCCTTTTATAGTCTTTATATTGTCCAAAGTATGTGTTTATAGTAGTTGCTTAATTAATACTGATTGAATATACTTGTGTGTAAATTTATAAATGAACAAATGAGGCCGGGCATGGTGGCTCACACCTGTAATCCCAGCACTTTGGGAGGCCAAGACAGGTGGACCACCTGAGGTCAGGAGTTTGAGCCCAGCCTGGCCAACATAGTGAAACCCTGTCTCTACTAAAAATACAAAAAATTAGCCTGGCACAGTGGCAGGCACCTGTAATCCCAGCTACATGGGAGGTTGAGGCAGGCGAATCGCTTAAACCTGGGAGGCAGAGGTTGCAGTGAGCTGAGATGGCACCATTTCATTCCAGCCTGGGTGACAGAGTGAGACTCTGTCTCAAAATAAATAATTAAATAAATAAGTGAATGACTGAACAGCAAAAGGACTGAACACATCCTACCTTTGAGTGCTTCTTTGTGATGACTTGGTGTTAGAGGCAGGCAAAGATCATTACAACCTCGTGGATGAGATTTCTGCACCACCTTCCCTCTAGGGTTTGTTTTAGTAAAGAACTGTCATGTTGTTAACTCCAACTCCTTTCCAAATATACATGTTTCCTCAGACGACCAGGGTCCTCACGACCCCTGGTGTAGTTACTGAGCACAGCTTTGTGTTTATTCACATCCTGTCTCCAAGTAGCCAGTAGTAAGATGCTGGTTAATAACTCTTACTGTATATTGCAAGGGTACTTAATCACTTCCACATGCCCCTCGACTTCACGTTATATTGTTTCAGCTGCTAATTTTCGAAATCCCCCAAACAAGACCTCTGCTCTGAAACATGTGCTTCAGAGCTGTTTCTTTCTGCCCTGTTCTTCTAGAAAACTTACATGTGGTTTATTTCAACAGCAGGAGTGACGGGGAAACATGTTCATAACTTTTCTCCCTCTTTTCCTCCTTTGAGTCTCTTTTCTGCCAAAGCTCTTGGCTGGGATCCAGAAATGGCACATTCAATAATACCCAGTGTGTTTGAGTAATATTTTATAATTACATTGTTGCTGGGAAAATGGTTGCCTTGAGAATAATTCCTCTGCATAAACAAAGTCTGGGACCCCTGTGCCCCTTCACACCCCCCTTGCTGTGGGGAGAGGGAGGCAAGAAAGAAGAAGGAAAGAAAGGAAGGAAAAAAAAGGAAGGAGAGAGGAATGTAACTTTTTCCTGCTTGGCTTTAGAAAGGGGACACGTCAGAGAAGATTTATAAGTTGGTGAAGGATGAGTACTAACAGCTTTTAGGAACCCTGCCAATTCTATGCTTGGAACTGATGTTCATCAGAAGGTAAACAGGAAAGCCATGTCCAGGTGTCTAGGAGGTGGAGGGTGGACAGCACTGTGGACTGGAAACTGAGGATCTGGTCGACTCTCCTGCCCTCCCCACATTCATATTCTCCCACCTGGCTCCTTCAGGCAGCTACGCTTTCCAGCTTCACCTGAAGCTGGTTTCTGAGATTCAAGGGGGATGCATATTAGAAGGTCTAGAGGAAAGACTTCTGGTGGGTGAAGGGAAGGAGGGCTGTTGCTAACGGTGGCTTTAATTGAGAGATCTTCTTAGCTGTAACCTCAAGAGCCTACATAGGGCAGGGCTGTCTCTGAAGCAGCTGTTTGCCAGGTTGGTTAGAAAACCTGGGGATGAGTATTCGTGTGGGCTTCAGTTGCTACAACTTATGAGGACTTGACTGTACTTTATTAACTACAGCATTTTGGAAGGGGCTCTGTGCAGACCTTCCCTCCCAGTTGCTTCCATTCTAGATCTGAACTCCGGGTGTGAGGTGCTAGGATGCAGCTCCAACCCCAGGAAAATGTCATCACTCACAAGAAGAGACATCTATCTAGGATGGTCACTCAAAAGTAAACGCCCCACAGGGGCCACTGCAGAGCCTGGCAAGTAAGAGATCAAGGCATGTGGTCTGCAGCATCAGAGGTCACTTGCGGGTTACTCTTGCACTCTGGCTTGAATGGGTGACAGCAGCTTGTATGCTCATCGTCTTCCTGACATTTCCAAACAATTCAGGATAGATCATTAGAGTAGTTTCAGCCAAAAGGAGCTTTTAGTTAGAGTCCAAGATGTCATTTATTAAGGACGAAACAAGTAAAAATCACATTTCAAAGAACTAAACCCCCAGACCCTATTTTCAGATGCCACTCCTTCAAAATAACATAAAAAGTCAAACCCTCAAACAAAATGAAGTACCATGCACCAGTTCCAAGTCTCCTGGGACTCCCTGAGGCTCTACTGTACCCTCCTTTCCAACCTCTTTGTTCGTTCTGGCTGCTGTAACAAAATATCATACTGGGTGGCTTATAAACAACAGAAATGTATTTTTTACAGTTCTGGAGCCTGGGAAGCCCAAGATCAAGGCAATGGTAGACTTGATGAGTCTTCTCAGTGATGAGACCAGCCTTCTCAATGATGAGACCAGCCTTCTCAATGATGGTATCTTCTTGTGTCCTCACATGGTGGAAGACTCAAACAAGCTTCCTTGCCAGGTTGAGTATTTACTCTGTTCTTTGTGTATGTAACTTGCCACTGAGTCTGTGTATGGGTGGGAATGGTCTGGTTCCCACTCGAGTTTGGGAATACTACTACATTTTAATGTGATTTGCCTTCACTGATCTGAGCTGTTTCACATGATTGCTGGGGAAACAGGCATTAAGTGATTCTCAGTCACCTAGCTCCTTCTGGGGTGCATGGAAGAAATGACTTATATTTATTGTGATAACGTGTTTACATTTAAATACAGTTTGAAGCTATTTTCTCTCCACAGTCTTCTCTTGGGTCACAGCCATGGAACAAGCACTGTTGCCACTAATTTTTGAATTCTCAATTTCCACCATTTCTGCTCAGGAGAATCTTGGGTCTTCTTACAGGATAACAGAGAACCTGACTAGCCCCCCTCCCCGGGGAGTGAGGGGAGCCTGGAGCTTCACTAATACAAGCCAGAGGGGAGATTTTGATTGATCCAATTTATAAAACACAAGGCTAGAGCTTTCAGCAGCTCCTTCTTGCATCCAGCCAAAAGCAAAGTCACCAAAACGTGCTTGCTGAGATTCTGCCTCATTTTAAGCCTTGGTAAAACGCATTTATCTCTATGTCTTCTCTTTAATTCTCTCTTGTCACACCCTAACATCAGGAGCCTGCAGAATCCCTTAGGGTGCTGAGGGAACAGAGACTTAAGACCAAGTCACAGCAAGGGGCTTGCTTCTCAGGTGGCTAAAATGCCAACATGACTTAGTTTATATGAACTTGGGAGGCCCCCAATCAAACAAATCCACTCCCTTTCATTGACCTGCCTGGAATTTTCACCACAGAGATTACAAAACTGGGAGCAATTAGCTGGAGATATTAATAGGTTCTGTCATGTAAAGTATTTGTAACAAAGCCTTCGGTTGAATTCCAGACTGAGAAGTTTTACTCCTGGAGCCAAAGAAGGCTTTGTTCTGGTTGACATCATGAAACTATTTTTAGGGTCCAAGTCTGCTCTGGCAAGGGGACTGAGGGTTCACTGTCCCCTCCTCCTGCCTCCAGACCTCTTGTGCCAATGCCACCCCCATCCCTTTTCTTTCCCAGAGCTGGGTGCGTGGCTGGACGTGACTAGGAAAGGATGAAGGTTTCAAGAGAATCAGCCCCCGGTGGGCTGCTGTCTCTGCATGGCTTAGAGGGGTGGGACAAGGAACATCACCTGACCCAAACTAGGGTAGGCAAATTCTTTTCCAGCTCCTGGAGACTGTGGTTGGGAGTTTGGAAAGACTGAGGAAGATCATGTGTCCCCTTCTGACATAGGAGACATTTCGTTCTGTATCAAAAAATGTTTCTATGACGTTCTGACTTCCTTGTGGACTCCTACACTCTATGTTTGTTCAGGGTCTGATACAGGAGCACAGATCTGATTTGAAAGAGAAGGAAAGGTCCCCTGCATATGGCAGTGCTCCCACTCCTCTCTATTTTGTATTTGTGGAGTTCTTTGTGCCTTTCTTATCAGTTTTATCCTTTGATTTAATGTGATCCTCTAACCACCCTATACAGGATCTGGTATCCTGGTGATGGGGAAACCAAGGACCAGAGAAGATAAATCATTTTCACAAGGTGATTTAAAGGAATAACAATCCATGTTTCCCAACTCCTGTTGCATTTTTTTCCAGTAGGCTGAGCATATTTCCCCAGCTGGAGGAGAGGGTTTCCAGGAAGAGCCTGTCCCAAGGAAGAATTTTTTTGCTTCGGCCTGGCATGACCTACCACAGAGGTAAGCTGAGCTGGGTCACATCCCTCAAGCATGCTGGGTGATCTTCCACCCTGTCACATGGCTGGGCAATGGTTCCCAGTGTGGGGCAGGCCACTTCCCATTTTCTCCCTTCATCATGGTACTCCTGGGCTAAATGTGAATCTCACAGGACAGAGTGGTACTTCCAAGTTGTACTGATGCCTGAGGGGCATGCAGATTTACAGGTACAAGACCACCCCTAGGCCATGTGGTGCCTTTGCATGAATTAGCAAAAGGTGCCTCCTCCAAGTCAACAGGTTCACAGCAGGACACAGGACTTGGGAGAGGAGCCCTGATCAGCCCCACTTGGTCAGGAACCCATGTTCAGCCTCCACTTGGTCAGGTACCTTTATGCAGAGAATCTAGGAAAGAGAATAGAGCCTGGATCCTGGGCTTCCTCCTCCCTGATCATTACACAGGAGTCTGGGAAATTATCATCCATACAACGGATGGGTTCAGTTGCTTGGTGGGTGTCAACCCAATGACCACAACCAAGGAAGATTTAGCAAGGGGATGTTATTACTTGTAACAAGTAAGGAGAACCCCAGGTATGGTTCCCAAAGCAGTGTCTCTCCAGTTGAGGGCTGGGTCAGGTTTTATAAGCATAGGGTAATGAGGTGTGATCTGATTGGATCTTGCAATGAGGTGATGCCAGAAGGCCTGATCTGACTAGATCCTGCCATGGGGTGACACCAGAGCTCAATCTGATTGGATCCTGGATCCTGCCATGTTGGATTCACACCTCAATTCAGTCCCCATTCCCCAACTCCAGGACTTAGGTTCCCCGGGTGGCTGCCTGCTTGGTTCATCTGGGCATGCTCAGGTTAGGGTCCATGGCAACTGAAAAAAAAACAGCTCGGAACTTTGTTACATAAAAGTTGAACCAGATTGGTCTGGTCCAGCTACGAAATCACTGATGGGGGTGAGGGTTGGCTGAGTGGCTCCCCCATACAGTAGATCCTGACTGAGGAATTCATTCTCTCTCGTTTTCCAAACTTTAAGCCTTCTGAAGGAATGAGCAGCATTTCCCACCTCCTCTCAAGGACAGCCAGGACTCTGTGTTCCAAGAGCTGGACTTCCCTTGCCCCAGGGGAGAAACAAGTATAGGCTTGTTTGGGGGAGGAGCTGGTTTATCCAAGAGCTGGAGGACTTTCAGGTTGAAGGAGAAGGGAGATCCAACCTGAGAAAGAGTGAGATGCCTGCACAGGAGGCTGAAGTGGTGCCGGGCTCTTTGTGAGTGGAGATCTGTGTGTACTCTGCCTCCGTACAATGAGCTGGAGGTTGCAGGACCTTGGATAGGATGAGTGTGGAGATGTCTGTGGCTTGAACAGGAACCACTACCTCCCTTCTTGGCTTGGAAGGAGGATACTTGAAGCCGCAGAGTCTTCCCATTGAGCATCAAAGTAATGAGTACAAGGTACTGAAGAAAGGCGGCCCTTCCCCAAGTTTCCTGGATTGCGTAAACCCCAGGATATTTTTTATGACCCAAAAGAAATTAAAAGTGACTTAAGAGGCTGAACAAGGTTTAAGCTCACTTAGAAAAACAAAGAAATGGGTTGTTTCTTGTGCCCCAGATTTATGGACTAAATTCATACTGTTTACCAAGTTCCACCAAAGGCTTAAAATTCACATCCAGTCAGCCCATAACCCCTCCCCGGCTGTCACCCCAAGACACACACGTGGAAGACAACTTCTTGTCTTCATCTGTGATTCCCCCAAACATAACATTGGTTGGACTTTCCGTTTGGAAAATATTTCTTCTTCAAGGCAGCCAATTTAAAACTAAATTGTAGTCTGGCTTCACCTGTAAAATGTTTGTGGTAGAGGCGGGGTTGTAGGCAGGAAAGCTCACTGTGGAATCTGCTTATATGTCTTGAGATCCATCTTTCTTTTTTTTGAAAATGGAGTCCCTCTCTGTCATCCAGGCTGGAGTGCAGTGTGGTGTGATCTCGGCACACTGCAACCTCCGCCTCCTGGGTTCAAGCAATTCTCCTGCTTCAGGCTCCCTAGTAGCTGGGACTATGGGTGTGCACCACCACGCCTGGCTAATTTTTGTATTTTTAATAGGGATGGGCCGGTCTTGAACTCCTGACCTTAAGTACTCCACGTGTCTGGGTGATCCATCCTCCCAAAGTGTTGGGATTACAGGCGTGGGCCACTGTGCCTGGTCTTGAGATCCATCTTGACTTCTGGGAAACCTGGTAATATCTCTGATCCCCAAAGACATAGATTTGTGTCATGGGGCTTCTCCAGGGTGTTAAGGAGCCCTGGAATCAGTGAGAAAAGTTTAAAGTTCTATAATATTGGAAAATGAAACTTGCCTAACTCTGAGCGCCTAAGGCGCAGAGCCTGGGAAGGTAGCCTGTCTGAGAACTGTGCTTCTAAATGTCCTTCTTGTCCCCAAGCCTTTCTCCCTAAGTCCCAGTCCTTCTGGACAATTTGCAGCTGGATCCTTCCATTCCCTCACATGTCAGCTGGAGGAGGGTGAGATTTCTGCCTCTCCTTTTTCCTGAGTACAGAGGAGGTTCTACGATGACCTCGATTCTCATCAGCTCTTAAGAGCACTTTAAATGAAAGGCACTGTAAGAGAAGAGCTTATTCTTTCTGCGAAGATAAAACCTGCATTCAATCCAGATTACTGCTGTCCTGCCTCTCTCCTTCCCCTGCTAAACCTGGAACTGATTCTGTGGGTGGTTTGATATTTGAAAGAGGGAGCAGTAATTTCAATTCTATGTCCTGATGTAAACTGTTAACAATCATTTCTTCTTGGACTGAGCAAACCTCAAACCGGGGTGACTTTAGATTCAGTCCACCCATCATTATTATTCATTTTGAGCCTCTGATACAGAGAAAAAGAAGATTCCCTCTGCACCCCCTTTTCTGTTTTTGCTCTAATCTCCCCCTTACCTCACCTGGAAAAGGTGGATGGTCAGCAGCAAATGTTGCCGGGCAAAGATTCACACCAACAGCTACCTCTGTGAAGTCCACAAGGCTGGCCGGGTCTCTCCAGCCCCCTCTCCACCAAAAGGCAGCTCGCCAAGCCCTGCACAGGGGGTCCTGTGGTTCTGACCTACTCTGTGCCCCTGTGGCTGGCTGTGCTCTTCACCCACATCACCCACACTCTAGAGATGAATGTCAGAGCTCCTCCTCTCTGCTCCATCTGCTCACCAGAGGCTGCGGCCTTCTCATTAGGTCTCGCTGATGGAATCTCATTTTCCTTTTCCAAAGCGCACTCTTGAGGACCCATCAGTCCGGAGTTTCTGGCTTTCTAGAGCTGCGTAGCCAGCTGGCTGTACCCACTTCCTTGGCTACCATCGCTTGCGGCTCAGGGAATTTGTCAGCCATGGCCCCTGGGGAAGGAGCTCCTGCCAAGCTCTGCTCTTTTTCAGTCTTCTCCTTGGCTCCCTCCCTCTTCCCTTAGCTCTGCACACTTTGTTTTCTCTCTTCTTCCATCCAGGCAAGGTTCCTGTTCTTTAGACAATGAGAGTCTTCATGAGAAACCAAAATCCAGAATAAAGAATAGGAGAAGGTCGCTCAAGGGTCAGGGCAGTGCACTGCAGGACCACAGTCAAGGGCATTGTCAGTGCTGGCTCATGTTTTGGCCAGAGGAGGCTGGACCATGCTAAAGAGTGCACAGAAGATGTGGTCAGCAGAGAGAAACATCGGCAAGAAAACTGGGACATGAAGAGCTTGCCATGGTCATTTTCAGGTGAAATACTGGTGTCGAAATTTCACTCTAGACCGAGGAAGCAGTAATGGGGCAATAGTTTGTCTACTGAAAATCAGGCCTTGTGGATATTGATTTGCCTTAATCTCTTTCAGCTTCTGAAAGTAGTGGTAAATGATATAGGGGGCTGCTCCCCCAGGCTTGGTTCTGTCCACCAGGGTGGGGCACTCTATGGTACAGGAACCTCAGGGAAATTTATCTGGGCATTACCGATAAAAGCCACCTATGTGTCTCCTCTTTCAGAAAGATTACTGGGAGAAAAAATCTGAAAATAACCCAGGAGATTCCAAGATTCAACTAATAACCAGGAATAGTTGCAAGGAAGAGACTAAGTGAAGGCATCTAAGAATCAACAGAACTGCCTGCAAAGCCAGCTAATAAGTTCAGATTTTAAGAGTGATCCTGTAAAAGATGGAAGCTAAGGCCAGCTCACGTGGATGAGGTCAGGGAGACTCAGGGCCACAGTGAGCTGTGGATTGTGAAATGCGTCAAACAAGAAAATGGACCATTTGGAAAAAGGAAATGACAACAGAATAAAGCCAATGCTGGGGAAAGATTGTGTAATTGCTGAAGAACCTAGCCTTTTTTGTCTTATGAGCCAAAAGAACTTTCAAGATCATGTTGTCAGTGGTAGAGTCGCTCCCCATATTTATTTTTCTCTTTTCTTGTTTACTAATAGAGCTCTCTTCCCCCTTGCCCCATTCCCAGCTTTAGCTGGATACATGATTGCTCAATTACAAACTGAATTTTCCTGCCTTTTTTCGCAGCTAGGTGGCAACGTGGCAATGACACCGGCCAGTGGGATATGAGCAGAATGATGTGTACATTTCTAGTTAAAGTAGAAATCCCTGGACCTTCCTTCTCCCTGTTTCTGCTGCCTTGGATCCAGAGGCAAAAGTCACATGTTGACCCCCTAGCCTGGCTCCCTGGACCTTTTTGAGTAGAGCTAACCCACCATCCCTGAACCACTTTTAATGGCAAAAATCACAGTTACTTTTGCACCAACCGAATACTTGAAAGTTTGGTGAAAAAGAGGCATAAACTTCTTATTTAAGCCACTGTACTTTGGCTTGTCTTTGTTACAACACTGTAGCCTGTAAACCTTAATCAGCACACAATCTAAAGGTCTCATTTTGCAGAAGAGAGAAAGATACCCACAGGCGTTTAAAACTCTGATAAGTTATTGATGAAGTGGCACCAGAACCCATGTCAACTGTTGTGAGTATAATGACTCTTTCTATTCTACCTTCTGACTCAGAGAACACAGAGCCCATCAAATCCTAGTTACCATGTCTTTTCCACTAAAAAGAATAATCTTCAGCCTGGAAATGGTGGAACAAATATTGACCAGAAGGAAATGAAGCCAAAGGAAGGAAATAGAGTTTCATTTCGAATCAGTTGAGGACTCCAGATTGTCATGGGTTTGATCAGAAGCTCAGGTAAATCATTGCCCTTTCTGAAAACTGCAGCCTGGGGAAAGGTCTTGCTTCTACAAGCCTTTGGCACATTTTTATTAGGGCCAGGTCCTTCCAGCTGTAAGGTTGAGTGTATTCCTCTGTGGCTCAGGGGCAGCCACAGCCTCAGGGGGCCAGCTGGAGACTGCTGGGAGGAAGACACCCCTTCCCCAAGCTTGTTCTCTGTCAATGAGTGTGCCACGGTGCCAATTATATGCCTAGATATTATTTATTTAGATCCTCAGGGCTTTTCTGTCTTCCAGAACTCTTTTCCTTCATAAAGCTTTAGTTTGCATATGCAGAGAAAAGCTGATGATAGGAGATCCAGCAGGTTGGCCCCCAGTAAACTTCACCCGTGTCCACTGTGCTTAGCTCAACCCAGTGGTCGGAACTTCTGATTTTTGTTTGCCTTGATGGCAGTACACACAGATTGGACAGGGCGAGACTTGTGATGGTGATGACCTGCCCATCATGCTGAGTCCTTGACCTGGGATGTGACTCACAAAGCCAGTCATTCACCTTACACATTTCATGCATTCCATATCCTGACTCACCACAGGTTCAGAAGGTCACTGTATTAGCATTCTCCAGAAATGCAGAAGCAATGGTGTGTGTGTGGGGGTGTGTGTTTGTGTGTGGAGAGAGAGGAAAAAAAAGAGAGAAGAGAGAGAGAGAGATTTATTATAAAGAATCAGGCCAGGCACAGTGGCTCATGCCTGTAATCCCAGCACTTTGGGAGGGTGAGGTGGGTGGATCACCTGAGGTCAGGAATTTGAGACCAACCTGGCCAACATGGTGAAACTCCATTTCTGCTAAAAATACAAAAAATTAGCCAGCTGTGGTGGCAGGCACCTGTAATCCCACTTACTCGGGGGGCTGAGGCAGGAGAATTGCTTGAACCCAGGAGGCAGAGGTTGCAGTGAGCCAAGATTGTGCCATTGCACTCCAACCTGGGCGACGAGGTGAAACTCCATCTCAAAAAAAAAAAAATTGGCTCACATGATTATGGAGGCTGGCAAGTCCCAAAATCTGCAGGAGGCCAGCTGGAGATCCAGGAGAGCTGATGGTTTAACTCCAGTAAGTCCTAAGGCCTGAGAACTAGAACAGCCAGTGGTGTAGTTCCAGTTCAAAGGCTGGTAGGCAGGAAGAATTCTCTCTTACTCAAGGGTCAGTAATTTTGTTCTATTCAGGTTTTCAACTGATTGAATAATGCCCCCATCACTCACATTAGGGAGAGCAATCTGCTTTACTCAGTCTCCTGATATAAACATTAATCTCAAAACACCTTAGCAGAAACACCCAGAATAATGTTTGACCAAATATCAGGGGACCCTATGGCTCTATCAAGTGGACAGGTAAAACTAACCACTACAGTGGATTGTCTTATTCTCTTGGGAGGGTGTCAGGAAAGGGCATGGGGTATGTGGAAGTGGGGGGTGGAAAAGTGCATAGTTTTTGAGTGTAACATCCACATTTTGTGCAAAACACTGAACATAAATTAGAATGTAAAATTAAGAGACTCAGAGGAATAGAGCTCTGTATTTTCAAATATGTGTGAATTAAACTCCTATTATTCTATCTAACTCTTTGTCCCAACAGATAGACAGACAGACAGACATACAATCCCCAAGATTTAAATGAAACAGATGGCTTTCCTATTCCATTAGGTCACCACAGATCCATTCCAGGTGTCCCTGCTCATATTTGGCATTTCCATCTTCAGGTCCATCAAAAGACAGACACATTTAAGACAATAAGATGTCTTTCTCTTTCTGGAAATATATTTTCCATTCATTCTTTCAATCACTCACTCATTTAAACATATTATTTGAGTGCTTGCTCTATGCTGATAGGGAAGGTATTTTGTTCTTTCTCCCACTGTCTTTAAAAGAGTTTGGTGCTCTGGGAAGCATATAAAGTGTGGGAAGTGGGCCTGGAAGTGAGGAGAAGACAGAGAGAAGAGGAATAGTGGTGGCATGAATGAAACAGAGGAAGAGAATGATAGATAAAATAAGACAATGTGGGGCTGGGTGCAATGGCTCACACTTGTAATCCCAGCACTTTGGGAGGCTGAGGTGGGTAGACCACCTGAGGTCAGGAGTTCAAGACCAGCCTGGCCAACATGGTGAGACCCTGTCTCTACTAAAAATTCAAAAATTAGTCAGGTATGGTGGCAGGCACCTGTAATCCCAGCTACTTGGGAGGCTGAGGCAGAAGAATTGCTTGAACCCGGGAGGCAGAGGTTGCAGTGAGCTGAGATCATACCACTGCACTCCAGCCTGGGTGACAGAACGAGACTCTGTCTCAAAAAAATAAAAATAAAAAAAAATAAAAATAAGACAATGTGGTGGAGTTAAAACTTAGGAAGCACTGGGAATGTGGGAATGAAGACCTGATGTGAGAGGGAGGGACTGAGCAGAAAAGTGGGCTGAGAAGGTAGCTGAGATAATGGAAGAATTTTAGAGTCAGAGTTGAAAGACCTAGACCTAAGTCCTATTCCACTATCATCATTTGTGTTTTTTCATTCATTAATCCCTTCAACAAATATTTACTGAGCACAAACTATCTTTGTGGTATTGTGTAAAGCATAGAAATACTGAAATACCAGGACAGATGAAGTCCATCTCTTTCTATCATCACAATGTGTAGGCAGAATTCTAAGGTGGTCCCCATTATCTCCACTCCCTGATGTTACAACCTGCGTAGTACCAGCTGCATGAATATAGGTGGGATCTCTGAATTGCTTTTAGTTGTAAGAATATGGGAGAGGTGATGGGATATCACTCCTGAGATTACTCTGGGAAGACTTGATCTGGCTCTCTTGGTGGCCTTGAAGGAGCAAACAGCCATGTGGTGAACAATCCAAGGAAAGGGTTGTGTGCTAATGAGATGAGAGCAGCCCTGAGCCAACAGCCAGCAAGAAGACAGGACCCTCAGTCCTGCAGAAACATGATGAATTCTGCCAACAACCTAAGGGAGCTTTCAAGTGGCTCTCTTCCCACTTACACCTTCAGATGAGAACACAATCCAGTCAACACACTGATTGCAGCATTATGAGATTGTGAACCAAAAATCCAGCTAAGCCATGATTGAATTCCTGACTCATGGAAACTGTGAGATAATAAACACCTGTTATTCAGGTCACTAAATTTGTGGTAATTTGTTATGCACTTTAGAAAACTATGTATTCATAGATTTTACAATTTAAATGAAAAAATGGAGTTCAACACAGTTCAATAAGTACTGGGGTAGATTGCATTCTTTGTCCTAATATTTCACGTCCTTTCTCTGTCCTTGTTCTTTGCAATGTGACTTTAGAGTTTGTCCTGCTAAAGGAATGGAGCATATTTTTCCTACCCTTTTACTTTGGTTTTAGCCAATGGAATGGTGCAGACATGACCATGTGCCTATTCCAAGCCTAGACTTTGCACACGTCTATTTGCCCTCTTCTGCCCCTACCATCACCATGAGAAGAACCCGCTGCAGTCAGCTGGCCTGAAGAGAGTGAGAGATGTGTGGAGCAGAGGCTGGTCTCAATGGCTCACCAACCTCAGTGAGAGGCAGAGAGGCCACCCAGCCACTGCATCCTGAAGTGAAGCCACCATCCGAGCCTGAACTAGACCTGTCATGTCCAGCTGACCTGCAGCCCATGAGAACCTGAGAATATGGTTTCAAGTCACTGGATTTTGAAGCAGTTTGGAATGCAGTATTTTTGTGCCCACAGCCAATTGTTACAATCACGTAAATAATTAATTACAATTGTGACACCTGTCATGAAGGAGAAATAAGAAGATATGAGAGTATGGAACTGAGTAACAACCTTTTTGTGGGGACAAAAGAAGGTTTTTCTGAAGAAATGACATTGAAGTTGAGACCCTGAGTAAGAACTTAACTAAGCAAAACGAGGTTGGAGTGAAAGAAAGAATAT